GAATACTCATACTTCGCAATGTTGCCCATAGCTTGTCATGATCCACACAATCAAAAGCCTTTGCATAGTCAATAAAGCACAGGTAAACATCTTTCTGATAGTCTCTGCTTTCAGCCAAGATCCATCGGACATCACTTAGTTCACAATAAAAATAAACAAGTAAAAGAACTGAGCATGAAAAACAAGATAGAGGAAAACAATCAACTATGCAAAATCTCCAATACACAATAGGCTAAGCAGATACTGTCTTGCTCTAAGGGGGAAAAAAATAGGAGCTATATGTTAAAAGAACTAATCAGACATTTAGTCCTCCACAGATAAGCTTAAATTTAGATTATTTAAGAGTTTAAATCCAGTCAACTCAACTGCCTTCTAGAATAAATATCAACCTTTGAAGTAACAGTAAAATTTCTCTGTATGTACTCAATACATCCAGAATGAGAAGAAGAAAAATGTAATCAATAGTCAGGAAGAAAGGAACTCAGTAAAAACAGGTTCTGAGATGATCCTGTGACTGCAGTTAGTAGACAAGAATTTCAAGAAATCACTATAATATGTCTTAAGACTTAAAGTAAAATATGCACATAAGAAATTAACAGAAGGGAAATCTTGGTAGAGAAATAAAAATGAGATAAAAAAACTCACATGTAAACTCTGAGTAATTACAATAAATGATAAGAAAAAGTAACTGTTCAGACTTAATAGAAGATTGGCAATAACAAAAGAATCAACTCTTCTAAATACAGATCAATAGAAATTATAAATTTGAACATTGTTGTTGTTAAGTGCTGTCAAGTCAATTCTGAGTCACAGTTACCCTGTATTAATCTGAAAGCCTTAAAACATGAAGATGAGAAAAAGATACCTGCAGACAAATTAAAGAGAATTCCTTGTCAGGACATCTATACTACAAACATAGAACTAGTGGAACCCCTGAGACTATACAGACCCTTGGTTACCCTTTACACCTGGAACTGAACTCATCATGGTAGATCAATTTTCAGTCAACAACAGACAAATCTATACGGTAATACTTTGTTGTTGTTGTTAACTGCCATCGAGTC